TTTCCCCCACTGCTGCGCAGCAGCATCCGAGTGCCGCGCGCTATCGTGGGCCGCCGCAAAGAGGCCCAATGCATCGCTTTTTCTTTGATTCGGCGGTGCAGAAGTGACCACCATCCGCAACGGCGCGATTTCCCAAGCGCGGGCCGAACGATGCACGAGGCTCAGAAAGTGAAGACGCCGTGGGGTCACTTCAGCCGCACGGCCGCGGCGGAGACTGCCCGCCGTACACCGCGGAAAGCATGGGAAGCGGCGTGAGATGCATTGCACCAACACACAGAAGCCCACTTGCCCTTTCCAAAACAATCATTCTACGTTTGAGCAAAAAAAAAACGATAAAGAAATATTGGGCCAAATATCGCCCCACCACCACCACCACGGCAATGAAGGGAGTGCGAGGAAGTGGCCATTTCCCCCCTCTCTCCGACATACACACACACACGCACCAGCAGACATACACGTATATGCAAGTTCATCGCTCCACCCGCAACCACCCTCTTTTTCAGTGGAAGTTACTGTTCACTCTCTTCCGCAGAGCCGCACTGTTGGCCGTTGGCCACCCACTTAAGCTCGGCCACCCGCCTCCTCGAGAAGTTTGCTGATGCGCTTCAGGTTGTGCTTTTTTGCCACGTACAGTGGCGACCTCCCTTCCTTGTCGGCAAGGTTTACATCCGCTCCGGCCGCGAGCAGCGCCCTTGTGATCTCAACGTGGTCCAAGTCGTCGCCGCCGAGCTCCAACACTTCCAGCAGTGCCGTCCACCCAAAATCGTTCACGTGGTCCACATTGACGCCGGCATTTATCAGCATGTTTACCATCTCTACGTGTCCCCGCTCACATGCCGTAATCAGCGCCGAACCACCGTAACGATTGCGCAGCGTCAAGTCCGGCTTGGCATACTTCAGCATATACTTCATGATCTCCACACGGCCCTCCGCACCCGCAAGGAGAAACGGCGTGTCATGCAGATCATCAAACAGGTTTATGTCGGCGCCTGCCTCCAGCAGGGCGCGTGCCCCATCCACATAGTTGTCCCACACACACACATGCAACGGAGTGCGATTACGCTCGCCACGCGTGTTGACATCCCTTTTAGCCGCTATAAGCCGCCGCAGGAGTGCCAAATCCTTTGCCGCCACGGCCCTGAAGAAATCCGCATCAACAGCCCCTTGCCGCATACTTAGCTTGCCTGAATAGGCGTGTGTGTAGCCGCCCTCGCACAAATATTTGTTGGTGTTCACTGCAGCACGTCTTATCCAGCAGGGAACCGTGTGCCACGAGCAACACAAGATAAAAAAAGAGGAAAACCTGCCACGAAGAAAAAAACGACAAAAAGAAGAGCCTTGCATCACAGCAGGGGGCACATTGCGGTGAGGTCGGCAAGTGGCCAGGGGCAGGAGTGGCGTTGGCCTGCATGTGTGCAGGCGCGTGTCTGCGAAGACGCGTCTCCGTCGCCTTCCTTCACCCACTCGTGGCTATTGTCCCCTGTTCGTCCCTCGCCGCCCGGGGGCGAGGCAAAGAAAAAGTGAAAACAAAAAAGCCACGAAAATGCCAAACACTACGCGCAAAGCATCACCACAGCCGGTGTGGCGGGCGGAGAGACTGGCAGCGGGGGCGCCAGAGAGTTCATTGTGCGTCGCCGCGCCGGCCAGAAACGAAAGCGCGCCTCCCCCTTCGGGCCACACAAAATAAGCCGCGACGAGGCGGCTGTGGAGGGAGGGGAGAAGAGCAGGGAACCAGAGGACGCACGAGTAGAAAAACGCCTGAGGGACGCAAAAGAGAAGCCGAGACGCAAAACCAACAAATCGTGAGGAAACGGATGCCGTCGAGCTTCCCCGGGCGGACGTTGGGCCCTGCAGCTGCGCCAGGCATCCACACTGCCCCCACCTCCACGGAGAGATGCGTCAGGGCCATTCGGCTAATCCGGCCTCCGACGCCCACCACTCATGGGCCCCGTTGACTCCACTCTGCGACGGCAACGATCGGCAAGAAGCAAGCGCAGACCGCGCGTAGGTAACCAATTGAGAACAAACAGGCCATGGACCAAACCGGCACCACAAGCACTGGATTAAGCACACAAGACCTTCGGTGGCACAAGACGCCACCGCGGCGCCCAACCTCCCACGCACACCACCCCCCACCGTGCAGAAAACGGTCGAGCCGCACAGCCGACAGCCACAAGAGGCCGCCTGCGAAGCCGTAGACCTGCGCAGGGCCACCCCTGCAGGCATGGTGCGCACGGCAGGGACGGAGTCGGCGGCGTCAAAGCCACTCCCCAGCGCCGCAACTGCAAACCACGCC